TCCAGAGAGTTAGAAATCACTTACTTTCCCTCCCTCCAACTAGTCAGGTGTGGGGGCTCCAGAGGAGAAGAGAAGCTGAAATGCCCATCTGGAGATGGATCCAGCCAGTTGGAAGGGGAGGTTGGTATCCAGCTTCTGTCTTTGCTGCCAAGCGTGGGCACAGTTGAGGCTCCACTTATCTCACCTTGGATCCCACCATAGCAGGCACAAAGCAGGAGGCAGGTGGAAAAGGGGATGCACAGACCAGTCCTGACAATATACAGGGAGGGGAAAACATAACTCTGAGGGTGGAATGGACTTGGCTGGATATGCACATTGAGGAATCAGCCTGCAGGACTGACAAAAATTCAATACTCATGGGGCTGCTTTAAAGCTAATGATAAGTAGTTAATCGATGTGTGGGGCCCAGCAGACACCCGTCCAGATTCAGAAATTCTGTTAAATACAGAGCCCTTTAATCTTTTTTGTGCTGCAGATCCATTTGGAAGTCTGGTGAAGACTTTAAACTCCTTCTCAGAACAATGCTTCTAAATGCATAAAATAGAAATACACAGAACTATAAAAGAGAAACCAATTATACTGAAATAAAGTTATCAAAATATTTAAAAACAAATGTGTGCTTTCATATAGTCTTTTTCATTGTATTAAGTGACAAGATCTAGGGGCAGTACTAAAATCTAGTGACTTTGAAGTAGTGATGAATGTAAATTCAATCTAGAGAAAGCGGAAACTCCTACACAATATGAAAATAATAGTTTTTTTAATATTTTGACAGTCACAGAAACTGCTAATATAAGGCACTACTAAGGGGTTTTTTTCCCTCTACATTTAGAATTGTAGGAAATGCTAAAGTTTAATGAGAGGTTAGTAAAAATAAAGATGTGACATTTTTTCCCTCCAAATTCATAAATCTCCTTAAACCCAAATCAAGAACCTTTTGTAACTAAATCAGTGGTTCTCAACCAGACATAGTTTTACCCCTCAGGGGACATTTGGCAATATTCTAGTGGCATTTTTGGTTCTCACCCCTGGGGGATTGGCATCTAGTGGGTAAAGCCCAAGGATGCTTCTAAATATCCTATAATGCACAGCACATCCTCCCACAACAAGGAATTATCCAGCACAAAATGTGAACAAGAAATCCTGAACCAGAAGAAGAATACTTGGGTCTGAAAAAAATAGACTCAGGATGGAGAAGATTCTCCAAAGGGAGTTGGGAAATCAGCCCCTTGCCCAAACCACACACCCGGTTCTTAGGAAGCCTTGACAGCATATCACCCGTACCTTCACCCTAAGTGTTGCTGCTGTCTAGAAGATGTTTCCATGGTGACACAATTCAAGGCAGACACAAGGAAGTAGCACCCAAGTACAACACAGGCAAAGGGACAGGATGGGTTATTAAAGGAAAAGCACCTAACTGGTAAAAAGACATTTGGTTTGGTTCGGTTTTAGGAATTTGGAACTTCACCAGAGAATAATAAAGCATCTCCTTCCCCATTCTCATCCCAGGAGAAGGAGGCAGGATTGTGATTCTCAAGGTCTGTGCTTCTTACAACACCCAAACTTCCCAGGATGGAAGTGCTTGAGACTTAGATCCAGTGAGGACAATCAATCTAGGTGTCACAAAAGGAGAGTGGGTGAAGGCTGAGGCTTAGATATGAAATGCTGAAATTAGCTGACTTGGCGGTCTCAAGGCTGGCTTCCTTGAGACCAGCAGCTGATGTGATGGGAGATGACAGAGACTCCCTCCTTGACCAATTTTAGTCAGGCTCCTCTGAGCCCGCTTCTTTAGCAAGAATCCTGCTAAGTGGGTTTAGCGAGAATTCCCCCACCCTTGATATCTGATCAAACTCATTCCCCACACTTAACATCTAAGTCCTTGGCTGCCTTTAGCTAGAATCCTTTTAAGCCAGTTTAGCAAGACTCCCCCTACCTTTGTTATCTCCTCTCAGTAATTTTATATCTACCATGTCTTCACTCTGGCTATGAATTTCCAGATGTTTTTGCTGTATTCTGAGTTGAGGTCAGTCTCTCTCCCCTGTTGCAATAGACTTGATCCCTATTGCAATAGTCTTGAATAAAGTTTTTCTTACCATTTTAACAAGTGTCAGAATAATTTTTTCTTTAACAGATAAGGCCCAAGCTCTGCAGCACCAAGGATGGGAAAATGGCCCCAGGGTGTATGGGGTGGCTGAGCACTTGGGGAAATGCCTTGCACAGAATAGTGGCTAGGCTCCTGGTGGCTGAGGCCACTATCAGCAGGAAGGATTCCTACAAAGTGGAATCTCTGTGCCTGACAGAAGCAGAGGACCAGGGGCCTCCTGAAAGAGAAGGAGCAACAGAACACACAGGGAACAGGATAGCCCTCCTGGCACACCCAACCCTCATCTCTACTTCCCATATGGCACGGAAGCCTCCAGGATTCTTGTACCTCCTTGGGGAGTCAGGCATGGTATCTCCTCACAAAAGGCATTTCTACCAACCATAGTGAGGGAGAGACTCAGAACCACATTTAATTTGATTCAGAAAAACAATGTTAGGGGCCGGCCCGGTGGCGCACTGCTATAGTGCACCGCTTGGGAAGCGCAGTGGCGCTCCTGCCGAGGGTTCGGATCCCACATACAGACCGGTTCCCGCTCACTGGCTGAGCGAGGCGCGGGAGCAACACCGAGGGTTGCGATCCCGTTGCCGGTCCCGGTCCGGTACGGGGGCGACACCGAGGGTTGCGAACCGTTGCTGGACATGGAAAAAGACAAAAAAAAAAAAAAAAAAAGAAAAACAATGTTATACTTCTTACACTGAGCATTAGGGAGCCAATCTACACCAGCTCTATGTGAGTATGTATCTCTGTGTTATCAGGTTCTCCAGTTAAAGTTCAATTCCTCTCTGCAAAAGAAGTAGAGAAACTCTTCTCCAAGTGTAGCTCAGGGGAATGGCTCTGCCCTGGTCCTGATCTGTGCTTTCTTGTTTCATTGTTTCATTGGCTGATGCTCTTCTGTTATACACCCTCTTCTGCATCACACACCACTTATGTTTGGTTTTTCCACTAACACAGATGTCACCCAGATGTGAACTCCTTGATTCTCCCAGATATGTAGGCTTCTGGGAAGTTAAGTATCTGTCATCCAGATGCTAGCTGAGGTTCTTTCTATCCTCAAAATCTAGTTAAGCTGGCTGAAACAACTTCTACCCCACCCTCAGAGTAGCAATTGCATGACTCAACTATATCCAAAATCTTCTGCAAGATTTAGATAAATTTTCAGGGGGCTTACGTGCTTAGAGTTTCTTCTGCCTTCCCAGGCTTCTGCATGTTTATATGGTCTTTGTCCCACATCACGTAAAAACAGATATGAAGTATCCCCTATACACTTCTCACATACACAATAAAATTTGCTCAAGCAGAGAGCGTTCATGATCTCAACAGACCCGACTAAATAACTAGGGGGAATGGGGAAGGGGAGGTCACATCATAAACAACCTAAGAAAACAGACATTCCTGCTCCCCCAGCCTGTTGCTGCCACCAGGCAATGTCCTACCTCTAACTATTTTATCTGCTTCTCTCCTCCCATGCTCTTCTCCAGCTTCTCTATAGGTACATCTGTCTCCAATGCTAACCCCCAAACTTGTTTAGCTAAACCTACCAAGTTTCTCATCAAACATTTAACAAGACCAATGCTTCTTACAAGACAGTTAGAGATTCAAATAGCCAAATGTGTGTGTATGTCCACCCCACAGATGATGGGATATCCATATCTTTCATAGCATTCCAGTTCCAAGTTATTCTGTCAAATTCTCTTTCTCTGCTCTGCATTACACTTCTAATTTTTTCCCTCTTGTATCTGTCACCCAAAATCACTTCAATCCTCCCCCATACTATGTATTTTAGGTTGTGCATATAACATGCTGTAATGCTGACAACAAGGAGTGGGGGAGGTAGAGATTATATTGCAGCACAGCTCAACAAACAAAAGTCAGTGTGAGATATCCTCATTCTTAAAAGTCCTTTGGCTATAAACAACAGAGATAATTCCAGGTGTTGTTGAGGATGTGAAACCACTGGAACTCTCATACACTGCTGCTGATGTGTCCTTGGTTATATCACTTAGAAACATTGTTTGGCACTATTTACAAAAGCTGAACATACTCATACTTTTTTGGCCCTGCAACTCCACTTTTAGGTATATACCTAACAGAAATACACACATATTTTCTCCAAAGGACATGTAGAAAATTGTTCATAGCAGCACTGATCTTAATAGTTAAAAATTGGAAACAATTAAAATATCCATCGAAAGTAGAATAGATAAATAGTATATGGAATAATTATGCAATGTAAGACAATGCTGAAATGGGAATAAATGAAATACAACTACATACAACATGGATGGGTTAAACATATTATTGAGTTTTAAAAAGCCAGGCACAAAAGAGTACATATCATAGGATTCTATTTATAGAAGTTCAAAAATAGCCCATATTAATCCATGCTTTTAGAAATCAGGATATTAATTACTCTTGGGTTAATGACTTGAATAGGGAATGAAAATGGCTTCTGGAATTCTGGAATGTACCATTTCTTGACCTGAGTCTGGTTACACTGATGCACTCATTTTGTGCATATAAATAAAGCTATATGTTCACAGTTTGTGTATGTATGTGTGAGTAAAGTGTTAACAGCAGGCCTGTACTCTTTTCTCCCAGACCTCGGCCTGCCTGGGAAGATTTTAGGTTTGCTTTCTCCCACCATCAGACCCTTGGAAATGATGCAAGTTAAGATAAATTTGGAATGCTGGATACCAGGCCAGACACCTGTCTTGTACACTGCGAAACCTCTAATCTGTGCGACAGCACATGGGCTGTGAGACCTGCAAACTGTAGGCCTACATGACTGCTGGAAAACCAAGGGAGAAGCTTCTTGGCATCAAGGTAAACCTCATATACCATGGCCTCACCCCAGCAATCATACACACTCTCTAGGCAGAGGAAGGACCCAAGCATCCCCCTTCAGAAAGAACAAGTCATCTTCCAGAAAAGTACAGGAGACACTTACTATAACAAAGAAAGTCTTCTTAATTGTCCAATTTCATATGTACAAAATGAGAAATCTCAGAACTAAAATCGGTTTCCAAATTTTCCTGAGAATGGATATCACCAAAAATAGAAATGTCACCAGGATCTGTTCAAAGGGGAACTTTAGTTATTTCCTACAGCAGTGTTTAAAACTGGAGTGCAAGAAAATGTCCCCCATATAATCAGATATGTGCAAAAACAATTAGTTAAATAACAAGTAGAAAGTTTACAAAAGACATTTCCATAACACTCACATTCATGTGGTTTACAAAGGTGCGCTTTCTATTAAAATCTGTACAGCTCAAAAGCATGAAATTCTGCAGGGGAGGCTCCCTTATTCCATGAGTTCACAGAATTTATTTTCATCTTCTATGCATGGACCACTGAAGTCATGAATGCCACTCCTCATCAGGAAAGAAACTTCCCCAGCCTTGTGAAGGGGGAGGTTTCTTGGGGCCATTACTATGATGTGCCGCCACTGTGCAGGCTGCTGTGGAGCCTGTTTCCCTTCTTCACATGTAGGATGCAAAAGACTAGAGAAAAATAAGAGTTTAGAGGTCCTTCTCACACATGTAAAAAAACTATTATCACAATATTCTTAAATTTTAAAAAGTTTGAAAAGCACTGTTTCCAAGAGTCAGCAACTCTACAGGAAGACAGTCACCATCAGTTCCCTTTTGTGACAATTTGGCAAGATGACCCTCTGGGTTGGCATTCCATTTCAGGTCACCAGGTTTCTGCAATCTCTGTGAGGACCTGCAGCAGTTCAGCAAATGTAGGACGGCCTTTAGGTGTCTGAAAAAGGGAAATGGAGGTGGTCAGCTCAGCTTAAGACTCACTCAGACACCAGCTCTGGAACTTGCTGGCAGGGACCTGGGTCCAGGCTGGTTCCCCACAAAAGGAAGAGAAGGATATCTTGACTGACACACAGCAGCATGATGGGCAGTTGAGCAAGGCATGAGTGTGAAATGGAAGAGTAGACAGTACTGCAAAAATAAAGTGGCTAGAGCTGCAAACACTAGCCACATGTGGCTATTTAAATTTAAATTCATTAAAATTAAAGAAATGTTTAAATTCAGTTCTTCAATCACACTAGCCACTTTCCAAGTCCTCAACAGCCATGGGGGCTACCATATTGGACAGCGCAGACAGAACTTCCCATCGTTGCCGAATTCTATTGGACAGCACCCACCTTGAGATCTGTTTAGATGACTTGACATGTGTGAGGTAAAGGAAGAGCTGGGAGAGAGAGGGGATCTAACGTACCAGGTTCCCAAGCTCCACCCCAGTTATTCACTACACTTGATCCCCTATAGAACGAAGGATTTCAGTCAGAATACAAAAGGCATGAGCCCTTCATGAGGGACTTTGTAGATCCTGGGGCGCAGGTTGTATTGTGTTCAGGCTCAGTTAACATAATCCCTGACCATGGGGCCAAGGCTTGGAGCATTTTTTCTATTTCACCAATGGAGAGATGTTGTTTGGCTATGACTCTATGAGGAAGGAGAGATGGCACTGTCAGCATCTTTGAAATCCATGGGAAATGGAACTATCAACAGTAACCACATTCTCACAGGGGTTGCTGACAGCAGGACTCGGGGGAGACACCGCCATTAGTGGCTTAGAAACAGAAGGCATCAATAAAAAGGACAGAGCAGAAGATGCTGTGAGCACGGTGAGCGTCCTCCTTCACTCTCCAGGAATAAATTGTGGAGCTTTTTGTGGTGGCTGAGGTTCCACAGGTAGAGCCTATGAAATGTTTTTATCAATGGCAATGTAATCACATTTGAAGCTAGAGGCCTTTAAGCACTTAGGGCAAAGTCATAGGCAAAAATCAACTTTTGCAAACAAATAAATCAACATAACCAAAACATTGGTTTAATCGATGTTCCAACTGCAATTTGAAACTAATATCATTTATTTGGTCTTCTATGCCCTACTTACCCCCGTCTCTGTTTCATCTCCATAGATATATAAAAATCTCAATATGTATTATATTACACACATATGTACATGCGTACTGTTTCATATACAGTACATATTTTCCATTTGCTACTAACATCTTATTTAACGTTTTTCTATGTCTCTCAAGATTCCCTGTGGAGCAGTTTATCATATGTAAAATATTTTCATACATTGGGGATCTTTATCAATTTAATACTTTTCTGGAATATGGACAACCACATTGCTCTTAAAATATTGCATTTTCCTATGTTTGTGGGTTAGGAATCAAGTGGGTTTTGGTTTTTTTTTTTTTTCAGCCAGGAAAAAAAATTCCTCATCAGGCTGTGATTTTTCTAGGCTGAAACTGTCAGCTAGAAAGAGAGAGAAGCTTTCAGAATCACAAGGGAGTCTGATAAGAAGGGGAGGGGTATGTTGAGTCAGTGCCCAGGAAAGGCAGAGGTTTAAGCTTGACATTTCAACAGAAAGAGAAACTGGTCTCCCGAGAGGTAATTTCCTGAGGGCAAGTTCCAGGCACCCTTTCTGCCTTCATTTCTATTCTGGTTCAATCTCTCTCTCAGGAGCCTTGAGTGCCACAAGAGGGAAGAAACCCATTACCTTCAGCCTTGGAAAAGCAAGGCAAGTTAAAGTAGAATGAAGTAAATAAAACTGGAAGTTTACAAACCTGGTTCTACCCTTGGTTTCCGCCCAGCAATTCTTAAAGGTAATAAAACATCTAATCACTGAGGCTTTAGTAACATCAAGAGTTTCTGCAAGAATCAATCTCATCTGCAAGAACAAATGAAACTTGGAAAATGCACTGAACTCCTCAGATAAAAGGCCATCGTTAAAAACAAAATGGATTAATGACTTTGTAGTGGGAGTTTTGAATAGAAATAGTACTTCTGGCTCTCAGGATCATGACCAAGAAGCAGACACCTTTTCCTGCCCTGATGGAGTCCTGGGGTAATGTTTGTGGTGATCAGCTCTGCTCTCAGATGCTGGGACTGCCAACCTTCTCAGAAAAGCAAGGGACACTCACCTCATGCCAGCAGCTGTACATGACTTCATAAATGGACATGGGTGCCAGGTGAGGGCGATACAGCCTGAAGCCATTAGAGATGGCTTCCACGACTTGCAAATTTGACTTATGTTCAAAAGGCATTTTTCCTTCTGTAAAAACTTCCCACATTAAAACTCCTGCAAATAAAATGCACAAAAACAAGAGGTTATAGATAAATGGTTACACAGAACTGAAAGAATTGTTTCAAAGAACAAGGCATTATTTTCCTCCCTCAGACTTTGAGTTACGTCATCCAGAATGAGGGCAGTTTTTCTAGGAAGCAGACCGTGTGCACTTCAACCTTTGAAGAGGCCTATAACTTGAAAATAATCAAAGTGAAAACAATGTCTTTGCTTTTCCATTGGTCTGGATTGCCTCCCTATTGGAAGAAAATGCTGGCAGCATTTTCATTTCCAAATACTACTCCTGTCCCCACACATGAAATCAATGAACCTTTCTGTCATCCCACAGAAAATGACAGGATTGTGTGAGCCTCTGCTATCTTCTAAGGCCAACAGTTTCCCAGGCAGTAGATGGCACATGTCCCCCTCTTTCCACTCGAAGATTAGACTGTTGGGTCTAATTAGAGTCCCAGAGTATCTAGCAGGACCTCTGTACATAAGCAGGTGTTCAATAATCATTGATTGAATAACTGAGCAGTGAAACTACTTCAAGAACTCCAATTTGAGTTCATTTAATTATTCACTTATACTATAAATATTTATTATGTATTGTTTAGAGGCCAGACCTATACTAGGGCCAGAGGATTCTGTAAGAATGAGACCAGTCTACGCGCCCAAGCAGTTCACTGTCCAGAGAGGAAGAGGGACGAGTGGTCAAGTACAGCTCAGGGAGTTCACTGATCTGCAACCACTAAATGAGGGCCTTGTGTTGCTACCCACTGATCTCTAAGATGTGGTCTCATAACTTAACTGCTGTCAAGCAGAGCTCAAAATGTCACCTGTTGGGACTACCACGTGTCAGTGGAGAGCTAATGAGATCAATGATATAAGCTTAACGTTATTGTGGACAATAAAATTCACACACTTCTGAGGGCCCAGATGTCTCTCCAAACCCAAAAGCCTTCCAGGAAGGTCTGGGTGAAAGACAATAGATAGACTTTTGCATATTTATTTCCACTTTTTGAAAATAAAATCAATGAACACACTCCACTGGATGTGGGCCTACAATGTCTTTTTCTCAATGAAGAACATTACCAAATGTAAATATCAATTGACAGATCCCAAGGAAACCTATGTCTAAATTCCACAAAACTTTAAGGTAATGAAGTAAATGAGGTGGTACCATTTTTAAAATCCAGGTTTTAAGTTCAGGTTGTCAGCTGAACAGCTGGAAAATTGTCAGCAGTTTAGCAGTTAGACAATGAAGTTTATTAATTACACTCGAAATTCAATGGTGCCTTAAGATCATTTTTCCTTCAGGCCTCTGTACTGTGGAAAAGTTGACTGAGTTTGTTTTCTAGATCAGTAGACTCTTTATTACAGTCTTAAAGCAAGTGCTCATTGGGGAAAGAAAGTCCCCTTTTTTATGTGAAAAAGTGTATGACACCAGTTGCCAAAGATAATCTGAAGGTGGTTAGATCACATAAGAAAGAAGCACAGTTACAAGAAAACTTCTTAAACATGTTACATTGTATTAAGAAATTAAAGTTTAGGGCTGGCCAGTTAGCTCAGTTGGTTAGAGTGCAGTGTTGATAACACCAAGGTCAAGGGTTCGGATCCATGTACTGGCCAGCTGCCAAAAAAAGAAATCAAAATTTAAAAAAGGATTAAACTTTTTTAATCCCAGGGGTAGCCAATTGGCTCAGTTGGTTAGAGTGTGGTGCTGACTGCCCGTTTCATTAAATCAAGCTCCTTTATATAAACATCAGATGCACTCACCAAATGACCAGACATCAGATTTACTGCTGTACTTGTTGAAATGAAAAACTTCAGGAGGGGACCACTTGATTGGGAACTTGGCTCCAGAAGAACTGATATATTCATCATCCAAGACATACCTAAGGAGGTCAACAGGTTCAAAGCACATTGTGTTAATCACCTCCAAGCTCTAGTTACTTCAAACCCCGTTAGTTAACTCCGAGTTGCTAAAAGACAAAGTAGTTTACCCCCAGAAAGGTCTGTACACCTTCTCCTCTTGTGAGCAGAGTGTGAAAGTATTCCTTACAGCGTTTCCTCCCCAAACCAAGTCTCAGCTGTATTCATCTTATTTGGGTCTCAGAAAACCATAATAATTCTTCAGCCCAAAACATGGCCCTCTGTTTATGTTAGTAATGATAATTCTTAACCTTGCAAAGAGGCACGCTGAATGCTCTAACAACCAAGTTTACAAAAAGGAAATAAAAGATAACTACAAGACTACTCTTTTTATAACAGAAAAGGATAAACGAAGAACTGGCCAGTTAGCTCAGCTGGTTAGAGCACAGTGCTGGTAACACCAAGGTCCAGGGTTCAGATCCTGGCATCAGCCAGCCACGAAAAAAAAAGAAGAAATTCAAAGTTAAATGCCATGTTTTTTTAATGTACATATTTTTTGTGGGACTTGGAAAGGGGAGGAAAATTAAAGTATATGAACATAATACTTTTGATGTGAAAAAATCTCTAATGCATTAGAATAGCCCTGTATGGAAAGAAATCAGGAATAACTACCATCTCCTTAAAAACAAACAAAAAACAAAACAAAAAATCAAATCCTCTATCTCTTTTGAGAATTGTATTCAAGAAGGTTCAAGTGTGGGATTCTGGAGAAAAGAGACAACAGCTAACTTGTGCTTGTTGCCCCTTGAGTATACAATTTAATATTTTTAAATTATTTAATACTGTCTCCACACTCCCACTTTTTTTTCCACATACTGCACCTCATTTCACCTTTATGCCCTTTATTGAGTAAGAGGTCATTCTACTTAGGTAAGGAAAGAATAATACAAAACAAAGCCATTTTTCCATAGATTTTGAGTTTCTAAAGTCTAGGCTCTTCAGAGAAGAAAGACTAAGTTATTAACGAAATATTAGGAAAAATGGGTCATGAATAAGAGGGAGATCCCACCACCACCACCCCCATCCAGCCATCTAGATAAAGATCCTTTGAGCTAGGACAATGGGGAAAATAGAAGGGAAAGGGAAGGAGTACTGGACATTAACAGGTCGCTGAGTTAGGGTCCTGTATCTTTCACCCTATAAGGGCTGCCCAGGTCATGTAGCTGGGAAAGAAGCTTCCATGCTCACATTTGAGTTGGTGGGATTCAAGAGCAAAATAGAACCTCTCCCTCCTTCCCTGGTAGAGGCTCAGGAAGGGCAGAAAGATTTCAGAGCACAAATGGCTATGGATGTGCCTGGATAAGTGGGGTCATTGATAGGCCCATGGAGTTTTCTAATCATGGAGAATGCCAGTTCTGAAGGAATCTCACAGACAGAAACTCAGGATGAGTTAGCAGCCATCTGTGTGGATGGCTGGCCAAGGCCAGGACAGGAGGATGGTGGCTGCAGGGATGCTAGTGTGCATGGATAACAAGGACCAGACAAGCCACCTCCCCCAGTCCTGTCACCCCAGAAGACACACAGAACTTGGACACTGATGCTGAGAAAGCCCAGGGGAACCCTGAATTCACCAGGATTAAATTTCTAGCACACCAGAGAAAAGGGAACTCGATGCATAAACTCTACTGAATTGTAGAAAAATATGCTTAGATTTTTCACACTCTTGAGTTGTGGACTTACAGTCAACTTAAAGTCAACACTTAGTAGAAGTGTTTGACCATGACATAGGAAAATCAGAACTGAGCAAACAAATTTATTTCTTTTCGTTTCAAAATATACATATATCAGAAAAGCTTTTTCTTAACCTTATACATATGAGTGGACTGAGAAATTCTTTTTAATCTTAAGATATACCATAGTTTTGTTAACAATGACCAGAAAAAAGGTCAGCACAGCCACAGTAAATGTTTACCTTACAGCTACAATTGCACATGCTCTAAAATTTAAAGTGGGTCAGGAGACCATAAAACCACACCAAAATTTCCCTCAAAGAAAGCGAAGCCATTAGCTCTTCAGTTTGTCAGTAGACAAATGCAAGCACCCCTCTCTTGAGTAAACAAAAGCACACATAGACGTGTCATGTACCTCGTCATTCCAAAGTCCGAAATTTTTACTATACTTGTAGAACTGACCAAACAATTCCTTGCCGCCTATAGAAAGACAAAAAAAGAATCCAAGTTTAAATACAAGTTTTTCTTTCAAGAGTTTCTACTCTCCTTTTCCTTCGTTTATTTGAGCCCTGCATTACCTCTTTATGTAGACAGCCAAGTTATTTTTACGGTGATACCTATCAATGGCATTTGTGATTCAAGAGCCTGCCCTCATGTGATGGATTTTGATGATTCTTCAAAGTAATAAAAAAATTGAAAAAAAAAATTCAACACTTTCACTTTTTTAAATATTTTATCTTTCTCAAGAAGTATCCTTGATAAATATGAGGATAGTTTCAATCTGAGAGATGATAAACTGTAAGTCTTGGCATAAAAATAGTGTATATTTTTTACTTATTTAATAAATAAAAGAGGAAAGCCCAATATACAGGACAGATAAAACAGAGTCATTTCATATCTTTGAATACTCTACAATAGGTAATAAAAATTAAGAAATTATATTTTAAAACTTACATTTCACTGAAGATTAACTGTTTACAGTGATAATTTCATATTTCTTAAAAATACCACAGTGGGGCCGGCCCGGTGGTGCACTGCTACAGTGCGCCACTTGGGAGTGCAGCGGCACTCCTGCCGAGGGTTCGGATCCCACATACAGACCGGCCACTCACTGGCTGAGCGAGGTGCGGCCGCAACACCGAGGTTTGCGATCCCGTTGCCGGTCCCGGTCCGGTACCAGTCCAGTAAGGGCGCGACACTGAGGGTTGCTATCCGTTGCCCGTCGCGAAAAAAGACAAAAAGGAAAAAAAAATGGGCTAAAGAGCTAAGTAGGCATTTCTCTAAGGAAGATATACAAATGGCTAACAGGCATATGAAAAAATGCTCAACATCACTCAGCATGTTGCCAGTCACAAAAAAAGACAAAAAGGAAAAAAAAAATACCACAGTGAACTAAATATAGTACTATATAATGCAGAGATAATGTTTGATGCCCAAACAATCCATTTTTAGCAACTTAGGAAAAAAAAAATCACTGATTTGGTTATTTAGCCTCACTGATTTGGTAAACTGTTTGATAGAATTTTTCTCTTTTCAGGTAATTTGTGCTTCAATTAGTCCAGAAACAGAAGCCAGAAACAGAAGCAAGAAACATGAAGTGGTAAGCCAGAAGGAGCCAGTATGGAAGACGCTGGAAAGCACCAGCCATGATCTCAAAGCCAAAGCACAAAAGTCCTTGACAGGGAAAAAAACTCATTGTTAGCTAATATATTTTAAGTGGCATGTGGGTAAATAAAATCTAACACAAAAGAAAATGAGTCATCAAGGAAGAAACAAACCAAGGATAGGAGAACCTGTGAGAAGCCACCTGGAGCAAACAGAATGACCAGAACTGTCGCCCAACTCAGTTGTGAATTCTAATCCTTATCAGGAAAGACAAACCTGCAGGGACTAGGAAAGGGAGCAGGTGAAACTGGTACCGTATCCAGCCATTCAGAACTTTGCTCAACAGCTCCCACGTGCTGGATCCTGGGGAGCATGCCAGGAAGAACTAAAAGCTCTGCTCTATCTCTGTAACAGCCACAGTCAGCTGAGCTCTTGCACACGTACCTGGCACTGTCTGAAGTGTCTCTGCATATAGTTCACGAATCCTCCCAACAAACCCGCATGAGGGAGGTGCTATCATTGATACCACTTAACCAGCTTGCCCAAGGTCACGCAGCTGGTAAGAAACAGAGGCAAGATTTCAACCCAGGCAGTCTGGCCCTAGAGCGGTGGTTCTCAAACTCGAGTGTACACAGGATTCACCAGGGGAATTTTTAAAAAATATTGATGCCTGGGATCCACCCCCAGAGATTCTGATTTAATTGGTCTGGGGTATGATCTAGGTATTGTGATGTTTCTAAAAGGTCCCAGATGATTCTAATGCACAGCAAAGTTTGACGTTTGAGAACCTGGGTTCTCATCACGCTCTGCTGCATCTCAGAGGTCTAGGCCTTGGTCTCAAGGAGTTGAGTCTAGTACATATTTGTGCAAACAATGTAAACAATTAACTATTATAGGACACAGTAAATAATAAATGCCATGAGAGTTCTAAGTCATGGGTAGGACAAGCACATTCCCCAACGTGTGCTGGGGCCGGTGTGACTATGCCTCCTTTCTCTCCCCAAAATATATATATTTTGATGCCTCCTTTCTCTACCCAAAATATATACATTTTGATCACCTAGTGATTACTTCTAGGTGGTGGAATCAGGGGTTTCTCATAAAATTCTCCAATTCTTATTTGAGTTAATTTTTAGATTTAGAAATGAGACGTGGACGATTTAGGAGGAGTAGTATGAATATCATGAATAAATGTGAAATGGACAGAAAGGGAGACAGCAGCACAGGAAAGCAGTGCTGTTAGCATTTGGTTTGGGGCAAAACGATCTCTTCTTTTTTTTTTTTTAAATAGGAATGTTTTGAGCACTACAGAACAGAATGATCTAGCATTCTAGTCTCCTCAATAACGACAGTAATGTTTGGCCATATTGTTAGGACCAAACCACCACCACGTAGGGGCAGTTGTGCCCCTGGGAGAAAACCACTGGAACTCGTTGTCACTGCTGTATCTCCAGTGCCCAGCAGAGTGCTTGGTATGTACTAGGCACTCAATACGTGTTTGATTACTGGTTGAAAGGAAGAAAGGTGGAAGGAAAGAAAGAAGAAGGAAGGGAAGGAAGAAAAGAGGGAAGGAGAAAAGGAAAGGAAAGGAAATCAGTTTTAGTTAGTAGATTGGTTAGGTGGTTAATTAGTTCAAGGCGTATTTCGAGTAAAACCTTACTTGGCTACAGCATCAATGCACAGGCAATTAAAAATAAAGATGCATGTCACAAAAAGTTGCATGAATAAGAAAATGTTTAAAAATTAAGCTAGAGGATACATTATTCAAAATATGGAAAGTAGTCATCACATCCTTCTGAATATGGGTATAATACATAAAATAAGAAGTGAATCTGCACCATACTTACTAAATCCCTATGAATGTAGCAGTTTCTCTCCAGGTATTCCATTCCTTCACATATATCCTGGCACATGCTCAGGAGCATTTCCTTATGGAGCTTTCCTTTTCTCTCCCTGAGATAGGTAAGCAGGCATCCATTTTCCATAAATTCTGTCACAATATAAAGGGGCCTCTGCTGTATACATACCCCATAAAGCTGGACTAGCCTTGAATGAGACAATTTCCTGTTGAAGAAAAATACATAGCAGTAAGCAGAATCATTTTCGCATTTTAAAGTGTTTGAACAAAGCTGGTAATATCTGCCATCTACATATTATTTTTATTATCAAGATAAGATAAAAATCCACCCAACCACAGAGAAAGTACAGCAATTTTCTTCCCACTTTATGCACTAGGAACGCAGGGTCAAGACTGCAAGCTTGAACACAAAGTCATTGTACATACAGAATATTACACACCCCATGTTCTACTCGTCAGCATTCTGTTTTTCTCCTTGTTTTGTAAGCCTTTTGCTTCCTCACTACTGTTTCTCCTGGCCCAGGCTTCACAGAGTACCTGTTCCCTTAACCCCAACCTTCCTAACTGTGCCTGCCCAAATGAAAATTTCTGGACACACAGTAGACAAGAAAGAGTGAGGGATGTACATAAAAAAGAAATTAAACTCTAAAGAATAAACCCATTTAAAAGGAAACTTTGGGATAAATTGGAAACAATAAAACATCTACCAACATGAAACTTTGCTGTGTATTTCATAATCACACATAGGACACACCCACCCACACACACAGAGTCCGTGAATGCTGCCTGTTAAAACATACCCAAGACTTTTTAGTCATCTAGACCTCAAAAGTTTATTGTTCCTTCTGTGGAATATAACATTCAATTTCCAAAGGCCTTTTATGCCAACTATTCATCATGGAAAACAATATTCAAATTAATGTTTATAATTTTAGAAGATATATAATAAGCCAATTAACTATTACTCAAAAGTACCTCAAAAAGTTACCTATTCTTTTCATTCATAAAGGTAAAATAAAATCAATGACTCAGGAAGATTATTTACCTTAAAACAACGTATATGACTGATTACTGACACATTATCATAAAATTAGTTTGCGAAAACACTCCAGTTAATGGGGAAGAGAGGCATTCAGAGAATGTAAGTATGATTTTAATTTGGATATATATTTTTGGGGGGTCTGATTTATCTTTCAAATTCATAAAGTGGATTTCAGTTAAGGAATGCAGTTTACATGTGTCCAGAGTAATGGCAGGAAGGCAAGTCTTGAAGTGGAATATTAATTTGCCATGAGAAATTCACCAAGTTGGTACCCACGTACAAGCACTTGAGAATTGAAACACTACACTGCATTTGCTTAGCAAGAGCACTGGCAAAAAAGTCTACCAGAAATAAGGCAAACCCCTATCAGTAATAAGGTAAAAATAAATAAGTAAATCTCCATGTGTGGTTCAGTCTAACAAGCAAGACGAATATTCTCACAGCCATAAGAAGATGCAGATGGAAAAAGTACATTCTTCTTTTCTGTAACTTTGGTACTTCTCAATACACCTTATTTCTCAGTTTATTGACGTATATACAATTCATTGTAGGGTAATCTTATATTAATTTTAAATTGTTATTTAAACATTTTCAGACCCTTTGCAGACTTCTCCAATTCTCCTTTCCTAATTTTTCTTTCTCTTTCCCTAAGTGATCACATCAAGTTTCAGGGTTTTAAATATCATTTCTGGTGATCGAATCCAATTTAATACCCTCTACCCTGACCTTTGTTCTGAACTCCAGTCTGCTGTATTTACTTGACCTCTTGGCTACATTTGGCTGCCTAATAGGCCTCTAAATTCAACAAGTCCAAAGCAGCATTCTTGATTTTTTTTCTTTTTGCCCAAACCTGTTCAGCCTTCCCCCATCTTAGGAAAGTCATCCTCCACCACGTAGAGCATCCCAAAACCTTTGAATCATCTTTGCTCCCCTAATTTCCTTCCATTATCTGCCACATTCAATTTATCAGCAAGTCTTGACAACTTTACCTCAAAACTGTATTCTGAAACTATTCCCTTCTTTCCATCTCGGCCCTCATCTCACCTACCGTCATCTTCCACCTGGACCACTGCAATAACGTTCAACCTACTGTCCTACCCCACTTTTGATTCCTGAAAGTCACTCTGCACAGAGCAGCCAGCGTGACCTATGAATAATACAAACCAGATCATACACTCCCAACCTTCCTTGACCATACAGTCTAACTGAGCCCCAGCGCACCTGTCTCTCTATCACCTCATTCTGTTTTGCAGTCTTGGCCCTTCCTCTCTTTGAGATTATACTGCTCATGTCTCTGCTGGTTTGCTGCCTGTCTCCCTCCCCATCTCTCCACTATGACATATACATAAATAAGCTCTTCAAGAGTGGGAACCTCGGCCAGCCCAGTGGCGCACTGCTACAGTGCACCGCTTGGGAGCGCGGCGGCGCTCCCGCCGAGGGTTCGGATCCCACATACAGACCGGCCACTCACTGGCTGAGCAAGGTGCAGGCGCAACACCGAGGGTTGCGATCCCGTTGCCGGTCCCGGTCTGGTACGGGCGCGACACTGAGGGTTGCGAGACAAAAAGAAAGAAAAAAAAAAAGAGTGGGAACCTTACCGTCTTATTTAACATCATATCTCCAGTACTCAGAACACTGCCTGGCACATAATCAGCAATAGATAATTGCTGAATGAGTGAATATAAGAAAACAGAAAGATGCCATTGGTACTACACTTTAGCTACAGGAGATGCTATGAAGTCTTTGGGAAATATATTATTTCTAATTCAAGAGATTACTTGTGGATATTTTGGCAAAAGTTTGCACAGTGATTTGCATTTATGCATGATTTACCCCAAACACAGGCATTTAGAGCCAGGTCTCTCTTCCCAGCCCACTACGGTTTAGGTGTTCTAACCGTTCTTTCCTAAATCCTGAAATCAGTAGAACAGCTGCTCAAAACCTACTTCTCAACACTTCTGAAATTAGAAGATTTCCCTTTTTATTTTTCCTCTCATCCCTGAATCCTCTTTCTTTTCTTAATCTATTGTACTTTACTACCTCTCCATTCACTTACCTTCTTAAAATTTTGATTTTTTAGGCAGAAATGAAGGCCCGGTACTATTATATAAAAGATCTGATGGAAAGAATAAAAGCTAAAAGGAAATGGCTGTATTAGGACAGGCAAAAGGTCGATTTTCTCCCTTTTTCTGTTTTCCAAATGTTCTGACTTAAGAATCTTAAATAGTATTTATTAATATAACATATTAATAAAAAGAATTTAATTTAAAGAATATAATTATTAAATATAAATAATAAAAATTGTTTATTTAAATAATAAGGGCTAAGAGTCCAACTAAAAACCTTTATTATTAATTAATTACCCTGGAGAAAACATTTTTAGGGAGGAAGAGGCAAGAAGGACAAGGGTGTTTTGGGCTTTTTTCTGTGGAAGATGCATATAAAATGTTAGAGCTTTTCCTTCAAAAATTCAAATATTTTTATTGTGAAGACACACTGATGTAAACATAATGAATGAAATAAAATAAAATGAGATACATGTGAAAAAGTTCTTAGAGAAATTAATGCACTTGTACACATTTTCATTACCATAAATGCTACGAGTTCACATATCTCCATAGTGTGCACTGCTATTTAAAAGCTACATGCAAAGAAACGAACCCATAGTTCAACAACTCAACTAAAGGATCTGCTAAAGGCCGTGCAGTGTAGCAATAATTTAAAGAAAACATACCACTCCTAGTCAAAAGAGCTGAGTTCAAGTTGTCTGCATGACCAGAAACAACTTATTTGAACTTTCTAAGCCTCAGTCTTTTCACGTGTGAAATGGGGATAATAACACCTGTTCTTATTTCTGGTGAATATTAAATGAGATCATGTATGTGAACATATGGTAAAAAACATAAACCAAGGTAAAAGTATAAAAATAAAATTTTAAAGTTTAATAAGATTTTATGGGCTGAAGTTGACTAGGAGGAACAGGCTGGTGTTTTTTTATTGTTCTAACTAATCTTTACCAGATGCTCTGGAAACTCCATGAGAATTTAGGCTACATCCCTTAATACAGTGATTAAGAGCACAGTATATATTTGAAGCTTTTCTTCTGCTGCACTGGAAAAACTACATAGGATAACAAATAATTATGGCAACTCTACAAGGTCTGGCATTTATTAGTTTCCCAGTAAACATTTGTTGATAATTATGTTAGTTAAGGTCACAGTCATTGTGCCCAGACAGTTCACAGTTCTGGTTTCAGTTAAACGCTCTACCAATGTTTTGTTGTGGGACTGTAGGAAAATTACATAAATTTCCTTTTTCTCATCCTATAAAATTGGAATTTAGTAGAACCTACCTCATAGAATTGTGGTAAGGATTAATTGACTCATTCAGTAATCTAGAAATGTTTTTGAGTACCAACTACGTGCTAGTTATTATTTTAGGCACTCACTGGGTTGAACAAGAGACATAAATAGAAGGTCCTATTATGGAGCTTACATTCTAGTGGGAGAGAAACAAAACAAATACACAGAAGCTTCTGAGTTGTGACAAGTACTTTGATGAAACAAACATAAGGTGATATAACAGGAAGCATTTGGGGCTGGGAGTGCCAACTTAAACAGGGTAGTCAAGGAAGACCTCTTAGAAGAGGTGACATTTAAACTATGCACTTACAGAAAGGAGGTAATATGTGCAAAGACTGGCAAATAGAGTTCAGTGTGTGTCAAATATTTAATTTTTTAAACACAAATGTATTTGTAATAGGATGTTTGTTAGAATGAAAATTTTCCTGCCTCACTCTCAAAAAATCGGGAAAAAATTAGCTATGTTCAAACCCAAGAACACATGTCCATCTGACCTGACTTAAAAATAAGCCCTTAGCTTCATTCCATTCTCCATAAACTGCCAGGAACTGTTTCTATTCCCCACACTCCATACATCTTTCATTGCCCTCAAAATATTGTTCTCAAAGATCCCGATCCTAAATGCCCAATCAGGCTTGAACCTTTCAAGAATCCCTTCAACATTAAACATTTAACATCTCTAATTCTTTCTTGTTTGATAGGTATTCCAATACGGCTTCAACTCACTAAGTCACTTGTCTCCCATTCATTCTTTTCTTACTATGCCTATTTAATCCAACACACGGGAATATGATTTTTGTCCTTTATATATAGGAAAACCATGGTTGGATGCAGATAGTATTAGGGAGCAGAGGCCAGACAAAATGGTTCTTGGGGTACCCAAGAACACAAAAACATCATTGGGAAGTTGATGTCACTGGAAAATTGTGTTTATCCTAACTTCCCTTCCCTTGGAATTCATTCTATTGTAAGTGTATGGAAAGGTTATTTTGGTAGGACACTTGGCATATGGGTTGAGCGCCCCAAGAGACATCACTGCTCCGCCTTTAAAGAAGAACGGGTCTAGTTAATCGCCTCTGGTTGTTGTTTGTTTTTCCAGTTGCAGTCTGCAAGTATGGGTCAGAACTACATTAACCTGCACAACAGAACAGAATCTAAGTAATACCACCTGGGGTTTTCCTTCTCCACCGCATTGTTGCTTCTCTAAGTAAATATTGAACAAATATTTAAAGAATATTTATTTGAACTATTCCAAATTATCGGCCTGTCCTAGTTGAGCCCATGTTACAGTTATAAACCACAGCCACAGTTTCAACTGAGCCAAAATGCTGTACCGGGAAATCACAGAATTTAAGAGCAGTATCCAGTGTTGCAAAGAGCCACTTCTTTTTTTTTTTTTTTTCTCCAGAGCAAGCATAAGACATAATTTTTATTCAATACAGTATTTTCCCTGGCACAGTTCAGTAGAACACTTACATATATTTGACATTCTTTTTTCTTTTTTATATTCGACATTCTTAACATACAATGTAAACTCCTTTTAAAGTTCAGGATTCTCAAAATTTTCTGAAAGCAAAATTTTATCCTTACAAAAAACATTAATTCTTGGGGCCGGCCCGGTGGCGCACTGCGCTAGTGCGCCGCTTGGGAAGCGCGGCTGCGCTCCCGCCGATGGTTCGGATCCCACATACAGACCGGTTCCTGCTCACTGGCTGAGCGAGGCGCGGGGGCAACACCGAGGGTTGCGATCCCGTTGCCGGTCCCGGTCCGGTACGGGGGCAACACTGAGGGTTGCGATCCGTTGCCGGACATGGAAAAAAAGACAAAAAAAAAAAAAAATTGATTCTTTTTGGCCACAGGGGGTTGCCCTTTCAAAAGATGAGCAGTATATTTCTACAAAGACAAAACCAACATTTTTGCTCCTGGGAAAAGAGTGGGGAAACATACTTTCTTGTCACTTTCATAGATTATCTCATTTAATTTGTACATTGATCCAGTGAGTTAGGTACTGTTATCCCTATTTTACAGATGAGGAAACTGAGGCTTGGAAATGTGAAATAACTCTCCCAGATAACACAGATGTCAAATAATTTGCCTGGGTTACACAACTATCTTGGGCAGAGCTGTGATACAAACTCAGGTGTGGCTAACTCCTAAATCCATGTTCTTTCCATGACACCAGGATGCTGTACAGTAATTATCTGGGTTTATACTTACATCATCACTTTAGCCTCTTCAATGAAATCCTCTTCGGACATGGAGCCTTCATTGATGGCCTTGATAGCTACCTGGATATGTGCTCGCCATTCGCCTAAATGGACCACCCCAAACTGACCACTTCCAATCTCCTTTACAAAAGCCAACTCAGACGGATCAATCTCCCACTTTTCTGGAAAAGCAAAAATCCATGTTACAAGTAGGGAAAAGAATGTTAAAATGTTAGAGGTAGAAAAGATTTGGGAATTATCTAGACCTATCTATCTCCCCTTATTTTACAGATAGTTTAAAAACTTATAAACAGATAGAGAGGATCTGTAACCAATTTTAGTACTCTCATTGTGGTTTAAATGTGTAATTCAAAAATTCAAGTTTTAAAATACAAACTTTACTTACTTGGAGAGAAATATACAACAAACTATGCATATCAAAACACACTGTCTTCCCAGAGAGACCCACGATGAAACATATTTCTATGCCTTTAAACGAAACCTACTCAAACTAGACCTGTTACCTAAACTATTAAGTGCCCAGTCTGGTTTTGTACTGGTGGGTAAACTAGGGAGGCAGACAAAATCCCCTCATTTAAGTTTCTTCTACTGTTCTCACTCTACCCCCAAAGGGCTGTTCTGCCTTGGGGCCTCCTCTGCGTAGGGAAAAGTCTAATCAATTCATCTAATAAACATGTTTAATGTTAGAATTCTAATCCACATATACCTAAGAGTATATTTGAAGTGAAATTTGTTACTTGTATATTTCTCGTCTATAGAAAAAAATCAGGAAAAAAAGTTTTTAAAAGAACCTTCTTGAAAACTGTCCTCAAATCTTTTTAGCATCTCTTTTTTGTATAGCAACACCACCATCTGCTGGAACTTTAAAATAGTGTATTTAAAAGAATTGTAAAAGCTGATAGCTCTTTGTACCAATTATGCTAAGTAACATGGGAGAATATATTCATGACCTTGGGATTGGTGTCAAGATTTATTCAACAGAATATAACTATAAAGGAAAATATTGATAAATTATACTTCATAAAAATTCTGTTCATCAAAAAAGCTAAGCCACAGACTGGGAGAAGATATTTCTAAAACATAACCAACAAAGAGTTTCTATTTAGAATATGAATAAACCAATTAGAAATGATAAATAACGTTCATTTTTAAGGATAAAAAGTTGAGAAGAGTATTTTCTCATAAATGAGAATATCTAAATGTCCACTAAACCTATAAAGAGTTGATCAAAATAATCAGTCATCAGGAGAATGCAGACTTAAACCATAATGAGATACCACTACATACTTAACAAGACTGGTTAAAATGTAAATAAAACAAAAACACAAAACAAACCAAAAAAAACCTAGAGTACTAAATATTGGCAAGGGCAAAGGAAAGGAGCAACTGGAACTCTTATACACCATTGATGGGATGGAAATTTGGTATAAGCTCTTTGGAAAACTAACTGTATCTACTAAATCTGAGCACGTGCGTATCCTATGACCCAGCAAGTCTACTCCTAAGTATATATTCAACATATGTTGGAGCATAAATGTGCAGTTAACATCATTGAAAGACAAACGAATGTTCATAACAATATTAGTTGTAAGAGCCAAAAATTGGTAACAACCCAAATGGCCATGTGAAGGTTAATTCTAGGTGTCAACTTAATTAGATTAAGAAATGCTGAGAAACCTGGTAAAGCTATCTTTTTAGGTGTATCCCTGAGAGTGTTTTCCAGCAGAGATTAGTATGAGCGTCTGTGTGCACTGGGTGGGAAAGACCTTCCCTCAATGTGGGCAGGAACCATGCAATCTGTTGGGGGCCCAGAGAGAACAAAAGACAGAAAAAATGGTGAAGCTCTCTCTCTATCCTCTGGAGCTGGGATACACTCTTCTGTCCACGGACATCAGAGCTTGAGACTCCTCAGCTTTTGGGTCCCAGGACTTACGCCAAGGACACCATCAGCTTCCCTGGTTCTGAGGTCTTCGGACTTGGACTGAGCCACACTACCAGCATCCAGTTTGCAGACAGCCTATCATGGGGCTTTTCTTCACAATCGTGTGAGCTAATTCCCCTAATAAATCCCCTCTCATTATTTATAACATATCCCATTGATTCTGTCTCTCTGGAGAACCCTGACTAATACAGGGCATCTAAAGAAGCATGGGTACATCAACTGAGTTATAGTCACGCAATAGAACTACACCACAACAAAAATGAACCAACCACACCAACGCTGTGGATGAAATTCAGATATAATTTGGAGAGGAAGAAGCCAAACACAAAAGAATGCACAGTGTCTGTCTGACTCCATCCATATATAATAAAGTCAAACCCAGGCAAAGCAAATCAAGCTATAGACTTATGAATCGTGCACTATTCTATATGTTTTTAAAAATTGAAAAGTTTATTGTTAAGAAATTAAAGACGACTATGTTTAACTTAAGTAACTTGCTAATAACTTTACTATATACTCATATAGTATCTATCGGGCAGAAGAATAATCCAGGCATTGATCACACCCTGAAATCATCCTTGCATCCCATTTAACCCAATGAGACACTGAATCCCAATTACTTGCTAAACAATATAATTGGGGGGGGGGTTCCCAGTATATTCTGAGTCCCATTAATGAGGGAAATTTAAGGAAATAAATAAAATGTAACCAAAATAGAAAACAGGATTCCCTGTCTCTTACTTATTCTCACAGACTTGCAAATACCACATTGGCTAGAAAGTGGTTCGAATCAAACTCTGTGCAAGTTCTATTTGAAAAAAGGTGAAGAGGACACTGTTAGCTGCTCTTTCTAGTAGGTTCTCTTGGGAAGCAGTTATTTCCCCAGCCACCCTTGTAACCAGAGAGCGATAGCCCAAACATCTAAATAAAAAGAACTCTAATTTATCAAAAGGGTGAAGATGAAGGCTCCTGTTAATATATATAGTGAAATTTGAAGCAAAACTTAAACGTTTCTCCCCAAACTTTAAAATGCACTATGAGATGCATATACTTAAACATCTCAGAAAGGAGAATTAAAGTTTGAGAAGAAATATATCTAGGTAGGCATTTCAGAAGAGCTGAGAATTTAAAGAATCTATAGGGAATGTGGATTAGATTCTTTACTGGACTGATATTTTATTCAGCATGTATGCATACTTTACCATAGCTAAAACCAGACGTGGCTGGTAAACAACTGCCCATCAGCCCAACTGGATAGCGGAGACGGGTCATGAGACCTAAGGAGAAAGATAAATTAGCATTTCAAGCCTAGGCTCTAATATAAAATACAGAATTAAATATATTAGAAGATAGTACCATTCTTTAAATAATTAGGCAAAAAAATGTAAAGATTCGTCTGTTTGCTTATTTTTCCCGCTTGAAAAACATTTTCATAAAATAATATATGTTCATTGTACACACAATGTAAAGAACCTAAGAAAGTATGAAGATGACAAAAAGATCCCTCACAAAATCTTAGTATCCAGAGATTCATTGCTATCATTTTGGTGAACATCTTTGCAAAAAGATCTCTATATGCATAGTTGAAAGCATATCCACATCCAGGACGCTTCACAGAAACGTAAATGTGTTGTTCTAAGCTTTTTACACTAAGCGTGTAATTGATATTTGTCAATGACTATAAATTGACGTTAAAGTTATTTCCAACATTTCACTATGGTAAAATATGCTGTATGTTCTTAAACATACATTTGTATTTACCTCTCAAATTAACACCTTATAAAATGTGATTTCCAAATCAAAGGGTGTCCAGAAAGGCTGTACTAATTTATTCAACCACCAGCGGTGTTTACATGTGCCCATTTTCCCACCCGACTTTTTGAAAATAGTATGGCTTTTTTGAAAACAGCATGGGAGAGTAAAGGAGACTTCATTTATTTGGGCCCGCATGTAGAATTCCATACATACCATTTTAATTTAGTTTAATAAGTATTTATTATTTATTTCTTCAACTAATATTTATTAAGAGCCTGGTATGTGCTAAGCACTATCCAGATGCTGGGAGACAGCAGTGGATAAGACAGTGATGGTCCCTGCTCTCATGGAGCTTACATTCTAGTGGGGGGAAAGAAAATAAACAAGTATGTGCACACACAAGAAAATGTAGATGATGATGACTGCAAGGCAGAGTTGATAAGACATAGTTACTTTAGAGTGGGTGCTCAGGGAAGGCTTTTCTGACAAGCTGGCAGCCATGCTGACATTGATTTGACAAAGACCCCTCTAACAAGGATCAGGAAGAAGAGCCTTTAAGCAGATGGAACAGCATGTTCAAAGGCTGGAAGACAGAAATAAGCTTGGACAATACAAGAAAAGAAAGAAGCAGGTATTAAGTGCCTATTGTATACAAGACACTCTTCTAGGTAGATCTCAAAGACCCCAGCAGATCCAAAGATGAGTGAGATGAAGACCCTGCCCACAGGGAGTTTTATCTCAGTGAAGGAAGACGGGCACAGAGAGACCATTGCAAATGTAAAGGGAATAAGTACTGTGCTGCAGATGCACACAAGGTGCTCTGGAACACACAGGAAGAACACTTAACTCATTGCTGGATTCAAAGACTTCTGGGAGGAAATGACACCTGAGATGAATCTGACAAATGGACTTAACCCATGAGGAGAAACCGTGAAGGACATTCTAGGCGGAGGTAACAGCATGAGATGATACTGAGAGGTGTGAAGCATGGTGCTGGGTACTTGAGCAAAAACCATGAAGTAGGGAGAGGAAGGAAATTACACTCGACAGGTAGGTAGTATTCTGGTTATGCTGGGCCTTGTAAGCCATGCTAGGGAGCAGACTCTGGAGCCAGTGGTTCAATGGTTTCAGAGATTTCTGTGGGTTCAAATCACAGCAAGGGAACTTATTAACTAAGTGACTTTGAGCAAGTTACCTCACAACTTGTGCCTCAGTTTCCTCATCTGTAAGATAGATGTATCAACAGCACCTACCTCACAGGATGCTCAGAAGATTAAATAGATACACATAAAAGCACTCAGAATAGGGTCTGGCTCAAAGTAGGTTTTTAATAAGTATCAGCTATTTCTGGGTCCCGTGTCTTTCCTCTTTTATCCTTCTTTCTTGTTTTCTTACTTCCTTTCTACTTTCTTTCCTCTCTGATAAACAGCAGTCATAATCATACATTTTCAGCCCTTGTTTTTTAATTGTTCTTCTTTGATTGAGTTTTTTATTTTAAAAATTATCTTGATGGTATTGTGTACATTATAGGAATAATCTATGTGCATTGTAATAAAAAAAAATCAAACACTAAAGCAATCTATAAGGTAGAAAACAAAAGCACCCCTTACTCCCAGTCTCATTCCCCAGAGGTAACTATCAACAGTTTATTGTCTGTTAAAATATTATTCATTTAAAAATTATTACTTAACATAGTTTTTCTGTGCACACAGATGTTTGTTTGTTTGTTTAACAAGCCTGGGGCTATACTCTTAATATACTGCTCTGTACTTTTTTTTAACTTAACAACTTATCACTAACATCTTTTCACGTCAGCATATCCTGTTCTACTTTACATTTTTTTTAACCTCACCACCATAACCACTCTTTCTTAAATTTTTTTCTTTGAAGAAAGGGGAAATAGAAGTATGAAGAAGAAAACTCAGAACTGGTCTCCTGATTCTCTAGCCACAACTATGGCCTCCCTTATCCCACCCAGATATTTTTCCCCTCCCTCTCTAACCAAACTTCCAATGACCATCTGGAATATTCATGTGGACTCTTCCCATAAGTGGATAAGATTTTCCTCCAATTTATTCCTGATATTTAGAACCAGTGTAATGGAAAAGTGGCCTCTTTTCAGAAGGGATTTTTTTTTTTTTTTTGTCAACACAACTTTTCATGAGAAAAATCTAAAAAAGCACTGCATGACGAGAAATCAAAACAATATGAAAAGTTACAGTGGGATCCAAATTCTGTAATGCTGAGGTAAGAAGATTCCCCATGGGCTCAGAGTAAGTGGTCCAGCACAGGTTGGGTGAGAGCTGCAGGCCAAAGATGTTATTGTTATTGTGGTGGAACTTTCTGAGATCCTATATCTTTCTGTAGATGATAAGTTTGCACAAATAGCAAGTATTGTAAACAATAGCTGGGGCAGGGGGAGGTTGAATATGCCTCTGGTACACTTAAGCCAAATTGTAACCATGAAAAGCTGTGTTCTGTGCAACTTTTTCTGTTCTTCAAACAAGAAAGAACAGAGAATGAGAGATTTAAGGGTGATTTTCTATTACAATTATTAAAGTAGAGAGAAGATTTAGGGGGCAAAGAAAAGGAAGCTTCATTATTTAGGGTATTTAAAATCCTATTACTTAGCCCTAGGTAAATTTCCAGCACAAATGCATAATGAGTAAATGTCAATTTGCTTCTCTGCCATCTACCATTTTTCCAACTTGGCAGAAATATAAAGAATTGACCTACCTCTTGCTCCTGACTAGAAAAACAAAGAAGCATCAATGAAAAGGAGAACTGCTCAGAAGACAGGTTGCATTGCAAGCTCTTAAACCACCTCTACAAGGAGATTTGCTTCTGTTGAGTGTCTAATATTAAATGTAGTAGATTGAGTTATGTTCCCCCAAGACTCCCTGAAACTTGAATTGTGTCCCCAAAGTTTTAAGTATTAGAAACTTGGCCCCCACTATGACTGTTAAGAGGGTGAGAAATCCTATAATGGTAATTGAAAGGTGGGCCTCTGTCTGGATAGGCTAAGGCCTGGAATCCTCACAGCGCCAATTGTCGAGCTCTTAATCCTGTTCATGATGCCAATTGTAAAGCTAGGTGACCACGTCAGTTGTTGGGCTCTTTTACCTGCCGGTAATCCTGCACCAACTGGGCCGATCATTGAGCTAGGGCTGGGTCTGGAGCTCCCAGACCCCTCAAGCCCATACACAGACTGGGTCACAAACCCTTCGCATGCCAGGCTGGGTCACCAGACCCCTCACACGCATGTCTATGAACTAGGTAACTGGCCAAAAGGTCCTTGGAGCCATAGATTGGAAAGCATGGCCACACAGGCCTGCCTGCTTCACTAAAACTGCCTTTCTTCTCTCTCTCTCTCTCTCTTCCTCTCTCTCTCTCTCCCCCTTTCTTTTTCTCTAAAGAACAGATGAATAGCAACAAAACTAAAAAGATACATTGGTGTGCATGTGCACTAACCACACACACACACACACACACACACACACACACAAACAATGTGCTTACAAAGGATGCTGAACCACACCCAACTGGACCCGAGGTGAGGGCCCTGACCAAACTATTCTATTTTCCCAACAGCCTTGAAGAGGTGATTAGATTGTAGGACCATGCCATAGTGAATGGATTAAAAATGGTGGTCATGGGTGTCATTCTGTGAGCTTTAAAAAGAAAGTAAATGAGGAGGTTACTCTCTCTCTGTTCTCTCTGCTTCCACCATCTTGCAATGTAAGACCCCTGGGTCACTATCACTACCACCAGATAGACTTTGGAATTCCCAGCCTCAGAAACTATAAGTAAAAAATTTTGTTTTCTTTATAAAATACCCAGCTCCGTATATTTTGTTATAAGCAACAGAAACGGACTAATGCACTAAAGATGCATTGTCCCTGACTCTCCCACTTGAAGTCCCTCACTCACCGGCTGCATTGTGCTGGTGATACCAGATCAACTCAGGGACTGATTGAAAGAGGTGTCTTTCAGCCACGTACCACTGTCCTGAGTCATTCCTTTTTATCTGATAATGTTTTATGGCAGCCTCCATACTTCTGCAATCAATAAAATGTAAATTAGTAGACCAGTGAAATATCACTTGGGAACCAAGCCAGTTCATTAAGCAACAGGACTGCACTTCTGAAACTCTCATCCTAGCAGCACTACACAGAAGAGCAGATTGATTGAATTCAACATATGCTTCACCATCCCAGGATAATTCCTACACTAAATTATTGGGGACTCAAACTCAAACATAACTTCAACCTAAATTGTATGAGTGGCAAGTCATGTTCAAAAAAGTAGAGCTCATAATAGACACTTATAAGTAGTTATTGGATATCAACTGCTATGGGTTAAATGTGTCCCCCAAAGATTCATATATTGGAAACTTAATCTCTATTGTAACAGCGTTGAGAGGTTGGGGAATACTATTATGGTAATTGAAAGGTGGGGCCTTTAATAGGTGATTAGATTGTAAAGACCTTGCCCTAGAGAATGGATTGATCCATTCATGGATTGAAGGGGTGATGGTACAATGGGTGGTAATGGGCGTGGTTCTGATGGCTTTACAGGGAGTGCAATAAGAAGGTTAGCTCTCTCTTGCTCAGCCCATTCTCTCCATGTGATACCCTCCATTGGTGTGGAGAGTCGCCACCTAGAAAAAAGCCCTCACCAGATGTGTTCCCTGGACTTTGAACTTCCCAGGATCCAAAACTGTAAGAAATAAATTTTATTTCTTTATAAATTACCCAGTCTCAGGTATTCTGTCATAAGCAACAGAAACAGACTAACACATCAAGTATTTGTTATATGAACAAATGCACTGTGAGAGATTGGAGGCAGAGACAAGGAAGGGAGGAAAGCCAGCACAGGGTGCATTAATGAACTGGTTGCTGCTATGGGCAACTGGGACTCAACACCTCTAGGAACTCATGAAAGACTGGGGAGCACACCTCAGAATTCCCCCTGAAGTGCAAAGAAGCTGAGGTGCTTATCCACCAACTACCGTTCTCACTGGTGTAGGGTTGCTCCTGGGTTGTTAACTCTCAGGCACTTCCAGCTAGCCCTGGGGTCCAAGAGTTCCCACAGCCAGAAAACCTTCTCAGGTAGAAAGACAAAAGAAGCTTTCTGAGTGCAGGGGACCTCTCTGCAGGTCAACCCCAGAGTAGACCGAGGGATATAAGGAAAGAACCAACAGTGTCTACTACAACTAATCTAACCCCCTCATCTGATGGTTGAGAAAAGGGAGACAAGAGAGGTTAAACAGCTTATCCAATGTCACACAGAGCATGTTAGGGATAAAATGTAGATTGGCCAGTTGTCCTAACTTTCAGCTCAGCAATCTTCTCCCATGTTAAGTTCTCACTTATATTCTCTATGTGATGGTATCTCCATATAAAAGACTTATTATGATTATTTCTAAAGTAAACAAAATTATGATTGCTTACCTTCTAGCTCTAATATACACAGAAATTGTGTAGGATCCCAAATATCTTGAATCTCTGACAATAAATGCACCTTCTTTAGACTGCAAAACAATTCATTCATTGTATAAGTTTATTCCTTCTTAGAAAGACAAGCCTACATCTCAGTAATGAAAAACAAAGCTATACTAGCTTAGTATAAGTGACTTACTTATACTTATATTCTTACTATAACGAATGAAATTGTTTTCACAAGTACACACAATCTTATCTCCTTTGTAGGTTTAGTAGTCTTACCTGTATAATAAAATGTAATTGGGACATGAATTTATAATGTAAGAATATTTTAAAATATTGCCCCTCAGTTTTCTAAGACAAATTCTATATTTGACAGACTTATACCTGACCAGTTATTTTTGTTTTATTGATCAGAATAATAGATAAAAAATAGGTGACAAACAGGAAGAACTCTGAGACAAACTGACAGGTTTGTACTTTGGAAGAGGAGCAACAACATGGCAGGAGAAACACATTTGAAAAGGCAGGGGGTGTGAAGAGAGATTAGAGTTTATGATAAGGATGGAAACAGAATAGATTTGGGGGAGTCTAAAGAGGAGTGCAAGGGGAGCCGTGTTAGTAACTGTAGGGGTATGAGAGAGATGAAAAAAGGAGTGGCACGGGGAGAACGTAATAATAAATGGATGTTAGATTATGAACTACATACACCCCTGCTAACACTCTTTGGGAGACTCCAAGGAAGCTACAAATTGCTTTTGATTTATCTTGAATGTTGGAATGTTTGATTTGTTTGTTTGATATTGTAAAAAGTTTCAGCTTTACTGAGTGTGATTAAGCTTTAGAAGAAGAAAAAAAAATCTCAGAATTTCATCAAACCTATGAAAGTTGACACTTATGAAGTGCTGACAACAGATATGTTGTGCTTGAGAACCGCACAACCCAAGCAGCATGGTCTGACCCTCAAGGTGAACCTAATACATTAAGCAGAGCTTTCTTCTCATTCCATGTTGGGGGCCTGAAGCTCCACACCCCTTCTTGTGAGACCACTTCTCCTTGACAATCTGCTCAGATGGCCATGCTTTACATAACTGCCTCGAAATCTTTATGCCAGAAACTGATTGCTCCTGGCTATGCAAGTTAATTTGCAAGTGACCTTTTATCCTTCTCTAGAAACTGTTTAACCATAAACATTCTGGGTGGCAACCTTTACTTTGAATGTCCTGTCTTTGTCTCTCCTCAAGATATTATCATATCTTTACATTCCAGACCCTTTGCAGCATGCCTGCCTTCTCCTATATAAGATGTAACCTAAGAATCAATAAACGAGACTTGATCAGAATACTGTCTTGTCTCAATTTCTCGTGTCTCTTGTCCCATCCAATTCCCACTCCCCCCTCCAGGGTCTGCGTTGAATATCCCGCGGGTCGGGACATTTTTGGCGCCCAACGTGGGGCCTGGATACGGGGGACAAAGTGAGGAAGAAGGCTCATAGGAGGGTCGACCACTGAAAATGAAAGAGTAAAACCTTCATCCGCCGCGGGAACCTGCTGCGTCAGGATAAGGTGAGTAAGAGCGCCTGATAATGGGACAAGAATTAAGAATTAAGAATCAAGAATTAAGAATTAAGAATTAAGTTGTCAATTCCAGATACTTACCAAGACATAAACCTCATTCCCTGGTCAATTTTTTTAAACCAAAGAATTGCTTATAGCCATTTGAAATGATAAAATCTAGGTTTTGTTGAATTCCTACAGGGTGCAAGGGTTGCATTACAAACCATAGGGGACACAAGATGTAAAAAGTAAAGTTGTATGTATGGTGTGTGTGTGTGTGTATATATATATATATATACACACACACACACACACAAATAAAAGTATATATAATATGCATATGATAAAGTTGTATATGGAGTGATTACCTCTTATAAAGATTCAAAGTAGGAAGAGTACAAACAACATTTGCTGACCACAAAGCAATAAAACTAGAAACTCATATCAAGTGCCAAAGTAAAAAGCCCCTACCTCCTGTAGATTTTTCTTTTTTATATAACTGAAGGAAATTCAAATGAAAAATATATAAAAAATATATAAAAGCAGTATTAAGGGGGAAATTTATTGCATTAAATGCTCACCTCAGAAGAATGGAAAGACACTGGCATAAAAACAGACACACTGATCACTGGAATAGAATAGAGAATACAGAAATCAACCCACACACCTACAGCCATCTGATCTTTGACAAAGGTACCAAGCCTATACACCGGGGAAGAGACTGCCTCTTTAGCAAATGGTGCTGGGAGAACTGGATATCAACATGCAGGAGAATGAAACTAGACCCATTCCTCTCACTATATACTAAAATCAACTCAAATGGATTAAAGAATTAAATATACACCCTGAAACAATAAAACTTCTTAAAGAAAACTTAGGAGAAACACTTCGGGATGTAGGACTGGACACAGACTTCATGAATATGACCCCAAAGGCATGGTCAGCCAAAGGAAAAATAAACAAATGGGATTATATCAAAGTAAAAAGCTTCTGCAGAGCAAAAGAAACAATTAACAGAGCTAAAAGACAACCAATAGAGTGAGAGAAAATATTTGCAAAATACACATCTGACAAAGGATTAATATCCAGAATATACAAGGAACACAAACAACTTTATATCAAAAAACCATACATCTGTCAAAGGATTAATATCCAGAATATACGAAGAAAATGAATTAACTTTACAAAAACAAACAAACAAACAAACAAAAAACTAGCAACCGAATGAAAAAATGAGCAAAAGAGCTAAATAGGGCTGGGCACAGACTTCATGAATACGACCCCAAAAGCACGGGCAACCAAAGGAAAAATAAACAAATGGGACTATATCAAACTAAAAAGCTTCTGCACAGCAAAAGAAACAATTAACAGAGCTAAAAGACAGCCAACAGAGTGGGAGAAAATATTTGCAAAATACACATCTAACAAAGGACTAATATCCAGAATATATAAAGAACTCAAACAAATTTACAAGAAAAAAACAAGCAACCCAATCAAAAAATGGGCAAAAGAGCTAAGCAGGCATTTCTCTAAAGAAGATATACAAAAGGCCAACAGTCATATGAAAAAATGCTCAACATCACTCAGCATCCAGGAAATGCAAATCAAAACCACACTGAGATACCATCTCACCCCAGTTAGGATGGCAAAAATCCAAAAGACACCGAAAGATAAATGCTGGCATGGCTGCAGAGAAAAAGGAACTCTCTTACATTGTTGGTGGGAATGCACAATGGTGCAACCCCTATGGAAAATGGTTTGGAGGTTCCTCAAACAATTGAAGATAGATCTACCATATGACCAGCTATCCCACTGCTGGGAATATATCCAAAGAAATGGAAATCATCAAGTCGAAGGTACACTTGTTTCCCAATGTTCATTGCAGCACTCTTCACAATAGCCAAGAGCTGGAATCAACCCAAATGTCCATCATCGGATGAGTGGATACAGAAAATGTGGTATATCTACACAATGGAATACTACTCAGCTATAAAAACAAATGAAATACTGCCATTTGCAACAACATGGATGGACCTTGAAAGAATAATACTGAGTGAAACGAGTCAGGCAGAGAAAAAGAAATACCACATGTTCTCACTTATTGGTGGGAGCTAAAAAAAAATAAAAACAAAAAACAAATCAATTCACTCACATACACACACACACACACACACACACAAAAAAAAAAAC